GTGCTGTGTGTGTGTGTGTGTGTGTGAGAGAGGGTGTTTGTGTGTGCGTGTTTGTTCGGGTCCTGTTAGTGTGCTGTTTGTGTGCTGTGTGTGGGTGTTGTGTGTTTGTCAGGGTGCTGTTTGTGTGTGAGTGTGCTGTTTGTATGTGGGTGCTGTGCGGGTGTTGTGTGTGGGTTTTGTGTGTTTGTGAGGATGCTGTTAGTGTGCTGGGTGTGTGTGGGTGTTGTGTGTGTGTGTGTGCTGTTTGTGGGCTGTGTGTGCTGTATGTGTGTAGGTGGTGTGTGTGCGTGTGTGTGTGTGTGTGCTGTATGTTTGGGTGGAGGTGGGGGCAGATTAGTTAATATCCCAGTCCTGCTGCCTTCCCTGGTGGTTCAGTGGAGAGTGAACTCTAGCCCAGGTTCTCTGCTGCCTCCCTCCATGCTGCTGTGGACCGGTGAGGTAGAACTTTGATCTCCCCACCGGCCCATGGAGGCTTAGACCAGAGCTGCCGCTCGGATAGCGTCGGCTCTGCATGAGCCGACCGGGGAGATCCAGAGATCTCCCCTGCCGGTCTCAATCCATTGGCGTGCCGCGAATGGATTAGGGTGTGCCCAGACACACCCCGTTTGCACGCCTATGGAAGTGAGGGATGGGGGAGAAAGCCTACATGAAGAGTCAGCAAGGAGCAGGAAGGTAAGGTAAGGTAAGAAAAGGAGAAGGAACAGAAATGAGCAGGAAGGGACATCAAGGAGCAGAAAGGGGCAGCAAGGAGCTGGAAGGGACAGCAAGGAGCTGGAAGGGACAGCAAGGAGCACAAAAGGTAAAGTAGGAGAAGGAGCACAAAGGAACAGAAATGAACAGGAAGGGTCAGCAAGGAGCTGGAAGGTAAAGCAGCACAAAGGTAAAGTAGAAGGAGCAGAAAGGGTCAGAAATGAGCTGGAAGGGGCATAAGGAGCACAAACGTAAAGTAGGAGAATGAGCAGGAAGGGGCAGCAAGGAGCAGAAAGGGACAGCAAGGAGCACAAAGGTAAAGTAGGAGAAAGAGCAGAAAGGGACAGCAAGGAGCACAAAGGTAATGTAGAAAAGGGAGCAGAAAGGGATCAGAATGAGAAAGGAGCAGAAGGGCGCAAAATAAGCAGAAAGTAGCAGAAAGGTAAAAGAGCAGAAAGGGCCAAGGATAGAAAACAGTGTCAGAAGATAAAAAAAGACTGTCAAATGAAGGAGAGGAAAAGGAGATTGGAGCAGGAAGGACAAATGAAGTGAACCTCCACTTTATTCTGGACACCACATCATAAGGCTTTGGTACCTGGGCCAGGCAGGGAAACGCTGGACCTTCTCATCTCCAAAGGTAAAAAAATATCACTATTAATGTGCTCACTTTTATTTACTGAGTGTCAGGAAGCACAGAGTGCCGTTGGGTAGGGGTGTTGCTGATTCATAAAAACTATTTTATGAACCGGGAACTAGCGATTGGCTTAGAGCGTCAACTGTCCACTCTAGCCAGTCAGCGGCACCCATGCCTGACGTCAATCTGCACTTCCTGACACTCTGTTTCAGAAGCCAAATACCACTGAGCAACCTGGAGCTGGAGGAAGCCTTTGGGGTTAAACCATTTGAGAGCGATTTAACCCCTTAAAGGAAAGCGAGCACCCAGGGGCTTCCAGGCATCATAGCATTTTCATTTAGGTGAAGTTGTAATGGTGACCAGAATGGTCCTTTAATTTGCTTAAAGGAACACTATAGTGTCAGGAATACAAGCATATATTCCTGACACCATAGTTGTGAAAACGCTATTCACCCTGTCTTTATGTGATAATGGCTATGCCCCTTCCCTTTCATGACACTGTCAAAAAGGTGGATGTCATTACAATTATGCCCCCCCCTGGAAAAATTCCTGCGGACGCCCATGTCTATAATTCCTGAACACAGGTAGGTACTGGTAATGAGGCTTGAAGCAGCAGCTATTATTTCATTGTAAGAAATATGATCCCAATTTGAAGGTTTACTTATAGAGATTGCTAGAAAGGAGCGGTATCAGACTATTCACAGAATACAATTTATAAAGAATCCCAGTGTTGGGGTTTATTCAGTGAATTCACACACTGGCCGAGCTGGAATATTCAATAGCTGGAACACTTGAAATATTTTGGCCTACATTTTGCATTTTTTTCCCTGCATCTGGCAATTGAGTGAATTAGCCAGGGACAGTTTATCGTAGGATGTCTTCCTCATACAAGCTCGCTATTTATTGGACATCATTTCTATACTGTCTGTAGACTAATGAATTGTTCTATTCAGACATAGAAAGGTGTTTGTTTCCGTACGTTTTTACACAGTATGTCTTTTTATTATGTATCTACCCACCAGCCCTTGCTCCTCTTTTCTTTGTAGCATGTTTGTCCAACTGCCTCTAACCTCACCTGATTAAAGGATACCTGTCATGACAAAGGGACACTATAAGCACTATAACCACTACCAATTGCTGTAGTGTTTTCAGTGCGTGGACCTGTATGTGCAATGTTTCTTCTTGAACTGCTGCCATTTATTTCAGTATTTTGCAAGGGGTGTATCTCCACCACTGGCATGTGTTACTCTGGAAGCTCCGAATGACACTTCCATGCTATGTAACGATATGTAACCATGCTTTTTGCTGGGAGTTTTAATATAATTACGGTGAACCCTTGTTACTGTAGGTTGTCAGGCATGAAGGTGCGCAATGAGATTCACCATTTGTGAATGAGAAATAGGTGGTGCCTCTACAAGAAGCACAAACACACTTTATGTTCAGTGTTTCTCTATGAGAACATATGATTGGACGATGCACAGTACTAACTTAGCAGTCAGTGTGGGTAGAAATCAGTCCCAATGTGCTGTATATGAGCTTAACAATACTTCCTTTTCTTTTAGCTCTCAGGCTCCAATCGCCACCTCTGCACAGGCTTCTGAAGGTAGCGATATCGCTGGGAGAGACCGATACAGGTTCTTTGAAAGGTATGCGAGGGCATGTAATAACAAAACCTTCTAATGGAGACTGTTCGAAGTTATCCACATTACATTTCACTCCACACACACAGCTTCTTTCTAAGACTTACTCTTTTATTACACATTCTTTTTAAACATAGTGATACAGCTCAAAGAAATCACCTTCTTGCGTTCTGTTCAATAAACATGGAATTGACATCTGCGCCAAAACATTTAAAACAAAACAAAAATTTTAATAAATCTGATTTTTTATTTTTTTCCCCTAACTTTAGCTAGTGCATTCTGAATCCCAGTTTGATGAATAAATCATTTTAAATTCAAATTAAACCTTTTACAAAGCATTCTTTGAGAGCTAGGGTCATACCTGGTTCATGGGTAAGGATATATCTGAATAATTACCTGTGTAATTAAAGGTGTCATTATATGTCGAATATTCCGTGTTCAACCCAGAATGCCATGAATCCTCCCTTTAGGCCATGTCTCCCTCTCTGTGTCAGCTTGTTGGGCTGTATTGAGCAGACTTCACACACTCTGGCCCTCCAGATGTTGTCGAAGAGCTACTATTCCCTGGATTCTATGCCCAAAACAATTCTGGGAATTGTTGGCAATCACCAACAGTCTGAATTGAGATCCCAGGTATAGAGTATGTGAACACTGCTTTATTATAGACATAGAAACATAGAATGTAAAAGCAGATAAGAACAGTTTGGCCCATCTAGTCTGCCCAATTTTCTAATTACTTTCATTAGTCCCTGGCCTTACCTTAAAGGGACACTGTAGGCACCCAGATCACTTCAGCTAATTAAAGTGGTCTTGGTGCTGTGATCCTTTTGCACCTAGTTCTGCAATGTTAAACATTGCAGTTCCAGAGAACTGCAATGTTTAAATTGCAGCTCTAAGTCTGCCCTCTGTTACTGTCTAACAGACAGCCACTAGAGGGCATCCATCCCACGCATGTTTAACCCCTTAAGGACCAAACTTCTGGAATAAAAGGGAATCATGACATGTCACACATGTCATGTGTCCTTAAGGGGTTAAACTCCCTTACTGTGTGAACCTCTACCACTTCAGCTGGAAGGCTATTCCATGCATCCACTACCCTCTCAGTAAAGTAATACTTCCTGATATTATTTTTAAACCTTTGTCCCTCTAATTTAAGACTATGTCCTCTTGTTGTGGTAGTTTTTCTTCTTTTAAATATAGTCTCCTCCTTTACTGTGTTGATTCCCTTTATGTATTTAAATGTTTCTATCATATCCCCCCTGTCTCGTCTTTCCTCCAAGCTATACATGTTAAGATCATTTAACCTTTCCTTGTAAGTTTTATCCTGTAATCCATGAACCAGTTTAGAAGCCCTTCTCTGAACTCACTTTCCATATTAGTGTCCTTTGTGCATTTGGGATTGTTGCTATTTTGTAATAATCATTGTTCTGTTACACTGTATATTGCTCTAGGCCTCTGGTCCCATTTACTCAGCAGATGGCACCCAATGTGCTCCTGGCTGTTTCTAGGTGAGTAGCTTGCCAATCCTGAATTATTTCTCTCTCTCTATACATAGGTATCCTCTAGATTAGGGGTAGGCAACCTATAGCAATGCACGGCACTCGAGGTATCTTTGCATGGCACTCAAGGCTGCTGGAGCCAAACAGGCTCTGGCCTATCAAAAGTCACAGGGGAACTTCACATATCAGCTAAGGCGAAAAGATGGGGAGGTACAATCCTCAATGTATGCATTGCAGCACATAGAGGTAGTGATCTCAGATCACTTTCTTTCCAGCACTTGTAAATGTGAATCTGTAGAGCAGCCTGCAGCAGCTATCGCAGTTTCTGCCCTTACCTGGCCAGCACGGCCCCCACTGGACCCAAGGGAAGCCACCCACACTGCTAGATATACACAGACATGCAGAATAACCCTCCCCTCATACAAATAATACAAACAGCTCACACACAAACACACGCTGTCCGAGTAGCGGTCACCCCTTGAGAGGCTGGGGTGTTCACCGCCTGAGAAGTCCTTCTCCCCTTGTGTGGGTAGCGCTGCAGTATTCCCAAGTCAATATCCAAGTAGACCATGAATCCAGTATAGCTCTACAGCTCCTATAAGAGCTAGTGGTTATAGCAGTTATAGCTGTTCCCTACAATCATGAGACGAGGCTGCGTGTTGATTGTGAAGTGAACTGATTTTAACGGAGCCGCCTTTTATGACAATCCCCATGCAAGTGGTACTCCCACATGGACCTGATGGTAGACTGAATTACAAAGTCACCAGCCAATGACAACAGTGTTACAATGCATGACACTCCCATACATATCATACAATCCCTCCCCTCTGCCTGGCAGAGTCAGATACTGTATTAACTCAATTATCTCCAGGCAAAAAAGAACACAATTTACAGGCAACCCGAAAGTACCCCAAAACCTCTCATAAACCCCATAGCCAACATATCCAAAAATCACCCAGATCGTTTCAGGTGTTTAGGGTATTTTTTTGACCAAATGCCGCCTTCATCGGATGAATATGCACGAACACAGTCGAGTATGGAAATCTCAGCGGTGTTCGGGTCGTTGAGTGTCCGATAATAGTTTCATGCACTCGATGACCAAACACCACTGGAAGCGTTCGTCCATACAAACGGTTGCCACCCAGTCGACCACTTAGAATGTTCAAGTGTTTGCAGTTAGAGTAAGTGTTAGTGGGGTTAAATGGGTCAACTAGCGGCACACGACTGTTCTGGGTGGTCCAAGTGTTCGGTACTTTGTTCGGTAAACGAATCAGAAGAGGAAATCTGTTCGGTTAGATTTGTATACCGAGCTAGTTAAAGGACCACTATAGTGCCATATACATAACATACTCATTTTCCTGGCAATATAGTGCCCTCAGGGTGCCCCCACCCGCCCGGCTCTGGGGAGAGGAAAGGGTTAAAACTTACCTTTTTTCCAGCGCCGGGGGGGGAGCTCTCCTCCTCTCTCCGCCTCCGATCCTCCCTTTCGGCTGAATGCGCACGCGCGGCAAGAGCTGCGCGCGCATTCAGCCGGTCTCATAGGAAAGCATTTACAATGCTTTCCTATGGACGCTTGCGTGTTCTCACTGTGATTTTCACAGTGAGAATCACGCAAGCGCCTCTAGCGGCTGTCAATGAGACAGCCGCTAGAGGATTTGGAGGCTGGATTAACCCTATTATAAACATAGCAGTTTCTCTGAAACTGCTATGTTTATAAATAAAAGGGTTAATCCTAGAGGGACCTGGCACCCAGACCACTTCATTAAGCTGAAGTGGTCTGGGTGCCTAGAGTGGTCCTTTAAGCAAAATTATCCTCCAGAAACGGGTATATGTTACAGTCCACAGAAACACAACACCAATATGCTAAATACACATACGCAACACCACAAGCAGTCTCTCCCATGCAATACCCCAACAGCCCCACACATACACACACCACCAAACACACAATTCCACAAGCAGTGCCCATACACAGCTGACATTCCTAGGTATCACACACAATACCACAAACTACTCATGAACATATGCAATATAACAGCTCATATACGCACAAACACCACGATATAAAGCAACTGCAGTATAAATAACACAAGCAGAATACGGCAACACCTCAATTAAAAAAAAAAACGCTACGGGACATCACAATCTTATTTTGGCACAGTACTGCTAAAAGGTTGCCTACCCCTGCACTAGACTGAAAGTTCATTTGAGCAGGGTCCTCATTTACCTATTGTTCCTGTGTCACTGTGTAATTGTCTAATTTATAGTAAAATGTTCCCCCTCTCATGATATTGTAAAGCGCTGCGGAATTAGTTGGCGCTAAATAAATACCAATTATATATATATATATATATATATATATATATATATAAAACTTCTTGCCCCTTTCCTTGCTGTCCTTCAATATAAAGTATGCCTCGGTGCAATCCCGCGTTAAAATTTCATTTGCCTCTATGTGTGTATATATAATGTATAGGAAGGGGCTTAATGTATAGTGTCTGTCACCAAGCTGTCAAAATGATAGCAAATATTGGGGAATTTATTCTTTAAGTGTATAGGACTATTCCAGAAATCATGAAGCTATATTGTAACCGTTCGTACTCCAATTTACCGCTATAACGTCTTATAACTTAGAATTTAGCAGGGCTAACCATACAGATATCTTAGCTAAAATATTGTAATCTTTATTTGGACTAGACGTTAGGATGACATAGGCAAAGCCTTGAATTGTTATTGCATTAAATTAAGACAAGATGGAGTAAACATGTTGTGTACTGTAAATAGGTAAAAGGTTATTAGTTAAAGAAACAGTTGCAGTTTAAAGAAATACAATGTAGCAATATGTTTTATACCCACAATTGCCCATCACAATATCTGCCAGTTATATCCTTCCTGCCTTTTATATCTAAATGGGTGCTGAAAATCATTTAATCTGTTTGTTTGTCAGGGCTGATCACAGCCCCCGCACACCAAGAGCACCCACTCCCCTGGTCCGTACAGTGGGGATTCAAACCGATTACCGAGATAGTGAGGCACAGACTGACCCCTACACTCCAGAATTTATAGTGCGTCCTGGATCAGTCCCTGAGCTGCTCACCCTGGCCAATCTCACGTGGGGTAAGTGTTACCTATAGCTTAATCTCAACTACAGTTACTGTAGAACTGTATGTTCCAGGCGTATCTCTATAGCTGTATAACGCCTAGAACATACAGTTACTGTGCCTGCATTGTCTATATAGCTGTGTAGAGATACGCCTAGGACATACAGTTACTGTGCCTGCATTATCTATATAGCTGTGTAGAGATACGCCTAGGACATACAGTTACTGTGCCTGCATTATCTATATAGCTGTGTAGAGATACGCCTAGAACATACAGTTACTGTGCCTGCATTGTCTGTATAGCTGTGTAGAGATACGCCAAAAACATACAGTTACTGTGCCTGCATTGTCTATATAGCTGTGTAGAGATACGCCTAGGACATACAGTTACTGTGCCTGCATTGTCTGTATAGCTGCGTAGAGATACACCTAGGACATACAGTTACTGTGCCTGCATTATCTATATAGCTGTGTAGAGATACGCCTAGGACATACAGTTACTGTGCCTGCATTGTCTGTATAGCTGCGTAGAGATACACCTAGGACATACAGTTACTGTGCCTGCATTATCTATATAGCTGTGTAGAGATACGCCTAGGACATACAGTTACTGTGCCTGCATTGTCTATATAGCTGTGTAGAGATACGCCTAGAACATACAGTTACTATGCCTACATTGTCTGTATAGCTGTGTAGAGATACGCCTAGAACATAGTTACTGTGCCTGCATTGTCTATATTGCTTTGTAGAGATACGCCTAGAACATACAGTTACTGTGCCTGCATTGTCTATATAGCTGTGTAGAGATACGCCTAGAACATACAGTTACTGTGCCTGCATTGTCTATATTGCTTTGTAGAGGAAATGTTGCAGTGTAAGCATGCAGAAGCCAAACACAGAAATATTGGACACAGGTCTTCAGGAAGTAACAGGCCTTTATTCACATTACCGATCGGGTCTCAGATGAACTCCTGTTTCAACATTCTGAGAGACCAACACATAGTGTACATTCCTTATATAGCACTATAACTCCTCCCATTAATAGCTACACCCACATACACCTTTAACCAATCAATGAGCAGAATATAGACTTGTACATCTAGTCAAACCACATGGCTCATCCAAGACAAAGGAAATAAGTGCAATTTCAGTTCCTGCACATGCTCAGTACACTGATGACAGTATCCTAGCTACATGTAGCTAACCAACTGACACAACATACACATATGCCACATGGAGATTTTGGCCTACTAAATTTTAACCATGCTGGAATCCCATCACAATACGCCTAGAACATACAGTTACTGTTTCTGCATTGTCTATATAGCTTTGTAGAGATACGCCTAAAACTTACAGTTACTGTGCCTGCATTGTCCATATAGCTGTGTAGAGATACACGTATGTGGCAGAACCAGCCTCGCCACTGGGCATTGGAGAAGACTGATTGCCAGCCTCCTGCTATGTGACTATGGCCCCTGGGATGTATTGCCTGCTCTCCTGTACTTCTGAGGATTGCTACCAACTAGGTGGATTTGGCTATGGAGCTTGTGTAGTGCCCTCTGTTGGTAGCAACAGTAATATGTACTACCTGCATAGCAAGACTGGTAATTTGCATATTCGGGTAGATTTGCATATTGCTAATTCTGCATGCAGGAGAGACATTTTGTGTTAATTATGGTCTTCCCCACCCATTTATAAATATGTAATTATGTGATAATAAGTCACTGTATGTTTCCTGCTATGATTTGACTGTAATTTTATTGAGTTTTCACAACAATGTTAATGTAATGACCATATGGGCTAGTCCCAAGTAAAATAAAGTTTTAGACAGTTCTACTTCACCCTCAATTTGGAGTCCTGTCTCTTATTGGGGGAATCTGCTACAAAGGATTGCTATGCTCTGCATATTCCCTTGCTATAATCACTCCTAAGCTCTTTTAAGAGCTTGTTCCTGCTTTGCTTTGAAGGAAGAGAGAATCCTCAAGAAGTGCTAGGAGCATCCATCAACGGAGGTACCCGGTCGGGGTGCCAGGGTGCCAGGTGATCCGTTACAACCTAGAACATACAGTTACTGTGCCTGCATTGTCTATGTAGCTGTGTAGTTATACACCTAGGACATACATTTACGGTGCATGCATTGTCTATGTAGTTATACACTTAGGACATACAGTTACGGTGCATGCATTGTCTATATAGCTGTGTAGAAATACTGATTATCTCATGGAAAAAAAAAAGCTTAACCCATGTTATAAGTGATTTTTAATATTTTATTAAATAAAATTCCAGAGAAACTATAGTTCTCCTATAAAACTAACATTTCCACTGTCCTTTATGGCTTTCTAGCCCGTCCCTGTCTACTTCCTGTTTAGTGTCACATTTTATGTACCCATGAGCCTTTTATCGTCTGTTTTCACATTAGTTTGTACATAATGGCTGTTTTGTATGTAAGCAGTTTATGTAAGACAAACTAGCTCTGTGTTCCTTTAAAACCTTTGCCACAGGCTTTATCTATAGATCTGATTGTTGTCATTCCCTTTCATCCAGTTATACAGTATGTTGGTCAGTATCTTTCATGTCTGCTATACAGTGTTGTTTCTTATCTTCTTTCTCTCATTCATCTCAGGTCGAGGCCTTCCTGCAGGACTCGCAGAGGTAGAAATGATAGAACGAGCTCGAGAGAAGAGAGCATGGGAAGCCTCTCTTCCCCCTCTGAGTGATCTGTCACAGCTTGAAAAGAGGAGAAAGATGATGGATGAGCAGGAAAGAAAGGAGTGGGCCTTCCGAGAAAGGGAGATAGAGAAGTATGATTTATATTGTGCCTTCAGACTAATGGCGGTATCCGACAATCTACAGGAAAAATAAAATGCTTGAAAATACAACAGAGAATGTGATATTGAGAATGTATCCAATAAATGTGCCTTCTTGTCACTAAAAGTCTTGATGAGTGCTTCCGAGCAACCCAGGGGTAAATAATTAATATCTGTTTCTGACTTCCTTTGGGCAAAAGCCTAATCATAGCCTTCAGAGTGAGATAGAGGGGTAAAATCATTGAATCTGTTTGTTTGTCTTGCCTCCTCTGAGCAGATGCATGGAGTGAGAACTTCAGGGTGAGATAGAGAGGTAGTCATAGATCTGGCCTCCTCTGAGCAGATGCCTGGAGTGAGGATTTCAGAGTGAGATAGAGAGGTAGTCATAGATCTGGCCTCCTCTGAGCAGATGCCT